TGCATCCTGCTACATTCCTTCGCGCGCGACGCCCCTCTCACCGCGACGCGACCGTTTCGTTTCTGACGCACCACACCCATTGGACTCGGTCATTTCGGGCCCCAACGCTTCCGATAAATATTGCGAAAAAGTTAAATGATATGAAACGAGCTACCCTCACTCTTCCCATTTGACCCGTAAAACTTTACAACTGATCCCGAAAAACTGCACCCTAGAGAAACACAAGATGGCTGACAATTGCAGGAAATCGAGCCATCGCCACTGGATTGCTGACAATTGCAGGAAATCGAGCCATCACCACTGGATTATCAGTAACAAGAAAGCACCTCTCCATGATGGTAACCCTCGTTGAGCGCGACAGCAGCGGCCAATTGACTGACTTTAATCTCCTTATTCGAACTTCGACGCAATAATGTATGGATCACTTTTCGTTGTGACGGCTTCAATCCATCCACTACAGAGGGTATCGATCGCTGAAATTGTTTTTACCTTTAACGAAGCGATTGTGTATTTGACCCAACAATAGCTGGGAAAGAGGTACACGACTTCGAGAAATTTATTACCCGTAAGTCCAGGAGTGAATAGCGAAAAAGTTCATTGTCGACGAACTCCTTGTAGGTGATGTCATTCGTCTTGGGAGCATCGGCAGTTACTTCCTGAAATAAGTTGAGCGATACGAAGGGGGAAAATGGAAAAGAAAGGGGAAGAGGTAAGGGCAAAGGGAAATAAATTTGTCAGAGCATCAACAAGCATTCCCTGAGGACGAATGTAGAATCGAATTACGTAGAGTTCAAATTTAGATCGAACTAGGCTCGCGTGGGACATAAAATGTGCCTTCTACCTTTGCTGGTCCTCGCCATTCACTTTATAGGCGCAGTCAATCATTGCGTCGTGGAATTCGCCCTCCACCACGCCTTTACTCCTCCTTCTATCGATACAATCCGCCTTCTCCGTTTTGCTTATTTTTCCAGCCTTTTCGTATTAGGACGAAGACGGGAGGAGAGAGGCAGAAGGGTTTGAAAAGTAGTGCTACTGGACGATTGTATGCTGCGCTAAGAATTGAATCCTGCTGATACTAGACCTTCGGAATAACGACTCCCCGTTCGGTACTCCTCAACACGCTTGACCCTTGTATATGTCCCATACGCGTTCGAAAGTCACTAGTGTTCTTGAAAGAAGAGAAATGCATGGCGCACCCCAGACGAGGGACTGATCGATGCCATGCGTAACTTCTTTCTCTTAACTCAATTTTCTCTTTCAATAGTTCGGAAGCAACTAAAAATTATGGCCAGGCCATGTACTGTGGAGCGTCTCTAGAAAAGGAGACTGATTCGTTCGCGTTGCAGTGGACTCTAACCCTAACTCTAAAAGTGCATGAAAGTTCCTGATTAGTTGCCTCGACGCGCGCCATGTCTGGTTGGTTAGTTGTCTCGCCGCACTGACCTAATGTCCTTTGACCACGTCAGCTGGCTGTTGATCCTACTCAAAAATCAGGATGATTAAAGCCATTACAGACACAGAACTGACTTCGCGCTTAGATTTTACATTTGCAACATCACGTGGTTCGATCCTTCTGATCCGTTATCACCTTGACATGACCATGCTGGTATGCCACGATGCACTCGGCAGTCCCTCACCGCCTCCCGACGCATAAGTAGCACTTCGATCGAAATCAGCCAAGGTACAGTACCTGGTCTCTGGCTAAGAGCCGCTCACTGATCCACCTCTTCCTATCATCCGATCGACGCTTGTCGAATACGAGTCGAATACGCAGATCGTCATTGTCGTCTTCATGTCGGAACTGTACCAAATGTTTTTCGAAATTCGAAAAATATTCGCGAGCTTCTTTGGAAGTCGATGTACCTGAAATTCAAGTGTGTGTGACTACCCAATTGATTTTTTACAGACTGAATTTGTTTTTTTAGTAAATTCTTAAAGAGTTCACCAGGAAAGGTGAAAGCAAGGAAAATTGTGAATGTCAGGCAGTGACCACTTATCAGGGCCGTCACCTAAAACAGACAACTAATCACCATCTCAAAAGGTAACCAGTAAAGAAGTACGGTCAGAACCTAATGGAGAGACAGTCAACTTGCATTTCCCCATCTCTTTAAAATTGTTGAATTGTAACACACTTACCTAGACCTTTATAGTACTTGATGGTGAACTTGTCAGCATCTGGAGTGTTCTCCTTCCATCTATCGAACTCTTTCATATTGTAGAAGCTGATGGTTTCAGATCCACGACGGGCCTAAAATTGGGAATTAGGCGATAATCTCATGTATTATATCATGGGCTGTCCATTATGCATTGGATTAGTAAGACATTACCATCTCTTCGATTGGCTAGTTCATTGCTAATGAAATGCTCCACTCCATGATTTGAGAGGGATTGCTTTTGTAAACGCCCTACCTTTGTTATCGAAGTCTCAGTTCAAGAACCCTAGTTCTTGCTCGTGTTCTCGACTATTCCGAGAGCTTCCTCCCCAGCTAAACCCGTTTCATGATAACGAGCTCAACCCCTTGTGGAGTTTTAGACAATTGTAAAGTCACTTATGCAGAGATTTCCATTGAGTTTTTATGGTTCTATGAGCATCAAGGAGGACAGTAAAGGAAAATTCAGAGATAAATTAATTTACTTTGAGAAGAGGAGTCATAAAAGACTGTACAAATCCATTACGCAGTAGCTGAGGCCAGTACGTGTGAAGAAAATTGATAATCAGTCCCTTGATATGAGATCCATCTTCGTCCTGAAACACTGTTGTCATAAGAAGGATACAATTCTTTGGAAACAAGGTTAGTGTTATTGCCTCATTGCAGAACTCAAGGTGAACAGCTGGCTGGCTGCGTTCAGACTTCGCGACTGGTATGTATTAATTCCGGCTATTGAATTAAAAACACTGTCAAGAAGCTAGAGCAAGCAATATGCCAACGTGGGGTCTGAATACAGCCCTTCAATTCTTTCCGTTTGATTCTGCTTAAACGGCCATGTTCCCTCTCACCCATTTTTGCTAATTATATCCCTTTTCTATCCCTTTTACGTCATGTTTTGTTCAGTCGTTCATTATCTTCATGTTTACATGGACAACTGCCGAGTACAAATGAGTTGTAAACAGTAAACATAGGGCAAGGCGAAATAAACACAAGCTCCTGCTTCATATTAGAGCTTACCTGATCAGTGAGAATGATTATCCCACCATACCGTAATGTCTTGCGATTTTTCGGCAACGAGTAGTCTGTACTGTATTTCAAACCCAAAATTCGTATCAAATGATTGATTTCTTTCGTGGAGTTTGCCTGAAATGTAGAGATGAATGTTCCTGCAAACTCAACAGGAAGCAGTATTGCACTGTCACATCCAAAAAAAAAAAACAAAATTTCTTGAAACGAGGACTAGCAGCAAAAGTCGCTGCGATAAAAATTTAGGAGGAAGCGCTCCGCGTTCAATTTCCATCTGGATTCAGGTGGCAATTTGGATGCTTGTATGGCTTCAACAATGACTTGCGGTGGTCATCACATGTACAAGTCATTGCTCTTATCCTACCAGGAGACCACAGTACCAATTACACGATGTCGAAGTGGTGAAAAGATTGGTCTCCTCTCGCAAACACTAAAATTTTTAGAGAAAATTAAAAAAATCAGTTTTTTTGGAGATGGAACCAGTGCTGTTTGACGATGGAACCAGTGCTGTTTGACATTGAGGAGAACGTTCCTGGGCACAAACAAACTTCACTCAATTCCCTCAATTCGTTAGACACTCCTTGAGCAATGTTGCATTAGATCGGATGGATAGTAGATCTCAAAAGCGCGGAAGTTCTATAGGTCCGGTTGCGAACGTGATACAAGGTGTTGGGATTTTTAGGTAAAGTATCCTACATCACCTCGGGTAAGGATGACACATGCATATTCAGAAGCCCCCACTCATTGAAACAAATTACGAATGCATTTCGCACCCCTTACAAAGCGATTAGCGTCTGAGAGTCCACTCTTTACGACTAGCCTTTTGAATCACTACCTTCTCCTCCGTCAATCCAGAGACGTTCGTAAGTTTTCCCATGATCGGAAACACTCCATAACGATCACGACCAACCACCTCCAACCCAGCTACAGCCAGAGCTTTTGCAGAATCACCTGAAACAGTTGCAATTACTCATTGTACCTACCAGTTTTTCATAGATCTCCATCTATCGCTGAGGACTTAATGTTAGTAGCGAGAAGTGAGCGTCACCAATGGGCTTATAAGATGTCGCCCACTCTAAGCAAGCCCCTTTCGCTGCAAGGTCGACTACCGGTATCGAACTCATCTAGGAGGATAAAGCCATCGGCATGGAGAGGGGCAGGTTTTCCGAAATGGCAACTCCTAACCCTTCCTCCTCTTTACTTTATTTTCAACTTCAATACCACTCTTAACTGTCACTTGCCTTCAGTTATCAAAAGGCGGCATTCCTCTGAGCGATCGTCATTTCCAGCCCAATTAGCGTCTTCAAGTTTTACTATGTCTGACAGATCTTCTACTACTGCCGCTTTTCTCGATTTTCTCGGTGGTCGCCCCTGTACGAGATTTTTCAGAAAATCGATTTATTGAAATCTTCAAAGTAATCAATAGTCAGAATCATCGCGAAAGAAATAACCGTACCTCCCTTGCCAACGCATCGCTCGTCAAATCTTCTATGAGACCACTTCGCTCTGCCCACTCCTTAATTGCAGCAGCGTCCACTACACATTTAGAACCAAAAGCGGATACTGACGTAGTAAGAACGTCTTTTGTCTGACTACTGAATGCTGGATTCTCGATAAGGGCATTCACAAAGGTGCATAAATGATTTTTAATCTGAAAAGAATAATATAGCTCAAATAAATTCAAAAAATAATAACGATAATTGACTGAGGGGATTCCAATAAGAAGCCGCCTTTTCTTGAGCAGAACGTGACGGATCCACATATAACAATGAAAGCCATATTTTTGACTTACCACTACTTTTTTGATGCCACTCTTCAGATTGGGGTCAACCAGAGGTTTAATGATATTCACTATCTGATCAGCGATGTGGTCGACATGCTTCCCACCCTGGAAAAGCAGAGAATTGCAGTTGTCAGATCACTTGAACATGCGATTTGCCTGCATATGTGCCTTCACTGTGTTTAGTAACATTTAAATTGAAAAAAGATAAAGTCTTTGGGCGTTGAGCGATCCCGTCTGAGGGATGCGCCCCGCCTTCGGTTCCCATTCATAATCGTAATGGCCTATTGAATGCGTATGTGGCCTATACAATGAATTGCGGGGCTAGCCGATGTACAAGTCAGTGCTTTCTCCTCCTAAACGGTGGTACCATTTGACCGACCCGAAGGAATGGAAGGCTCGGTTGGCCAAGGCGAGTAT